AGAGAGAGAGAGAGAGAGAGAGAGAGAGAGAGAGAGAGAGAGAGAGAGAGAGTCATTGGTATAAACATCAACGTAGCTGTTAGTATTAATTCCAAGTGGACCATTCCTCCGCTGATTGGACGACGTATCAAATCCAAGTGCAACATTGCGCTGCTGGTTGGGGGGAGAGAGAGAGAGAGAGAGAGAGAGAGAGAGAGAGAGAGAGAGGAGGCATTGGTATAAACGTCAACGTAACTGTTAGTATCAATTCCAAGTGGACCATTCCTCGGCTGATTGGACAACAGGCCTGCAACGAGGTCGTCTCTCGCAGTCACAAGAAAGCGAGTAGATGCTGCGTTTATGTCACGACTTGAACTCCTGAAGATCGGGTGTTTCGCTAGGTCGGGATTTGGTCATCAATGTTTGTGATGTGGAGAATCGCAACTGGCCTGGATTTCGACTTTTGTGTATCTCCCTGGCGGTTTCTCGTCGTTTCTGTGTTGTGTTCTTGCACAAGCGGTCCGGCCACTCGACATGAGCATCAAAGAGGCTTGTTCACCACTGGAATGACACGTCTAGGAGCGGGTTCATGACCGTCCTGTTCTCGCAGGCACAGTGATAGATAGTCTGTCGAGGAGTGTGTGTGTGTGTGTTTGAGAGAGAGAGAGAGAGAGAGAGAGAGAGAGAGAAGGCTGAGGGCAACGGATTGCCTGGTCATAAAGGAAGAGTCTCTGCACCTTGGGAGACAGAAAGTGGGTCCACGTTCTTGCGAGAACGCGTGCTTGTGCACTTTGGCGAAGACGAGTGTCTAGTTGCTGTGCGGGCAAGGATCCCGAGGATGTCGATCGAACGATTGGCTTTTTGACACGTGGTGAATGAGGAGGGCGTGAAGGACGAGAGGGCCTGGGTGGGTTTTGCGTGTCAGCAGAGAAAAATCAAGGAGGAGAGGGCCTGTGTGAATTTTGGGGGTCATCAGAGTCTGTTTCTGGGCGAAGAGGGTTCCCGGAGGGTTCCAGCGTCATTTCTTGGGGTCCGTGCACCCTGCATAGGAAAGGAGACGGTGAGGAGCGATCGACTCTCGGCACAGACAGAGTGGTTGACATACTAGTAGGTAGACAAGTCGAGTAGGGTGAAGGCAAGAACTCGTCAGCGATTTTCCGGATAGTAAAGGAGAACGGGTGTGGGGAGGAGATGGTGTCTCACAAGGGGGACCTAGTCCCCACGCAACAGCTGCGGGGCGGCAGCAGCAGCAGCAGCAGCAGCAGTAACAACAACATTCATCATTACCATGAGCAGCATGATTCCAAAGCGAAAGCGAAGGGAGGTGGGGGGGGAGCAGTACTCGGCGCGCTTTTTCGGGTGAAGCCATCGGACGACGTGCGCGCCAGGGCGACATCGTCGATGACCGCAGACACCATGAAAAGGTGTCTGACTGTTAAAGACCTAATTCCAATCGGTGTAGGGTCAACGGTGGGGGCGGGAGTGTACGTACTCGTAGGGACAGCGGCGAGGGACCGAGCCGGGCCCGCCTTGACGATATCTTTCTTGATCGCCGGCATAGCGGCGGCGCTAGCGGCGCTGTGTTATGCAGAGCTCGCCAGTCGTTGTCCCTCAGCAGGCAGTGCTTATCACTACGCCTACACTTGTGTTGGAGAGGTAGTGGCATGGCTGATCGGGTGGTCGTTGATTCTCGAGTATGCAGTCGGAGCATCCGCCGTCGCTCGGGGATTAAGTCCCAATCTGGGGGTGTTCGTGGGGGGGGAGGAAAACATACCTTATTGGCTGGCGAGGCTAAAACTGCCGTATTGCGGTGGAATAGTCGCCGACCCGCTCGCGGCGATTGCTGTCCTGCTCGTAACGGTCCTTCTGTGTGTTGGAATTAAGGAGAGTGTGCAGGTGCAGACGATCATGGTGTTGGTGAACGTTACGGTTCTTGGCTTTGTGGTCATTGCGGGTGTTTGGGCTGGCTGTAGGAGTGGTTGGATAGGGTACAAGCAGGCGGGAGGGTACTTTCCTTATGGGGTGAATGGCGTTCTGGGAGGTGCGGCGATGGTGTTTTTCTCTTATATCGGCTTTGACACGGTCGCAAGTACAGCCGAAGAAGTGAAGAGGCCTCAGCGGGATCTCCCCCTTGGAATCGGTCTGTCGTTGTTGCTTTGTGGAGGTCTGTACATGTCAATCGCGGTGGTGCTGCTTGGATTGGTTCCATACGACCAGATCAGTCGAGAGACGCCCATCACCACGGCGTTTGAAGAATACGGTATGCCGGTTGTCAAGTACATGGTTGCTTCGGGTGCGCTCGCTGCGCTCTCAACCTCCCTACTCGGAGGTCTGCTGCCGCAGCCTCGTGTCCTGTTCGCCATGGCTAGAGATGGTCTCCTTCCTAATTGGGTAGGCGAGCTAACGACGAACGGCACTCCACTGAACGCGACCATCCTGACTGGTGTCTTCGCTAGCGTCCTCGCGTTTTGCATGGACATCACCACCTTGTCGAACATGGTTAGCGTGGGTACGTTGCTGGCATTCACGTGCGTTAGCGCGTCTGTCCTGATAGTTCGGTACGCCGCGCCTCCTGTCGAAGCATGCATGACACCAACGACAGGCGCTGTCGACGTGGTACCAGCAGTGTTGACGGCATCAGCATTTCTCCCGTCTTCATCGTCATCTGCTGCCCGTCAGGCCTCGAAATCGACGGTATCTGAGGGGTCAGCGGCAGCAGCAGAGGCAGGGGAGAAAGCACCCTTGCTTCAACGAGGATCGGCTGCAAGAGATGCCGAGGACGAAAATCGCGGAGCTCTTCTCTCGACACAGCAGCAGGAGAGAAGCTTCTTGGCTGATGCTAACCCAACTCGGGAAAAGGCGAGCTCTCTCTCGTCTCACCCGGACGGCGAGGGGCGAGGGGTAGGAGGAGGAGGCGTAGTAGTAGGAGGAGGATCCGACAGGAAGAACAAGCGCCCCGCCGGCCCCGACGGCAATCCTATTAATGTCCGGGTCCCGTCGGCATCATTGCCGGCCAAAGGGGCAGCAGCCGCCGCCACAACTGCTGGCGGTTTACTAGACACGCTCAAAGTGAGGGAAGGGTCGTCTGGGGGGGCAACAGCTGCGGGGGGCGGAGAGGGTCATCGTCATCACCAAGGTAGTAATTATGGAGTTAAATGCAGTATTGTCTCCGATAAACAGGATACCGAACGTCCCGAGTCCCCTGGGAGTCTAGACGATCATCTGGCAAGTCCGTTGCTGGGGCAGTCTCTGCCTCCTACTACTTTTTCTCCCCCTCCTCCTGCTCGTTCCGGTAAATGGCTGGAGAAAGAGACCGAACCGCGTAGAAGACAAGTAGCAATCGTGTCGATAAGTGCCATTTGCATCGGCGCGCCTCTAATCGCGACGGCTGCTGCCGGCGATCTTTTGCCTTTCTTCATTAGGATGGCTCTTTTAGTGATAGGTGCTCCTGTCCTTGGCGCTGGTTTCATCTTCCTATCTGTTATGCGTGAAGACGAAGCCTCGTTGATTTTCGGTCATCCGGGGGGATTCCGCTGTCCTTTTGTCCCCGCCCTTCCTGTCGCGAGCATTGTCGTCAACACTTATCTCATGATCAACCTTGGGCTTGGCACTTGGAAACGCGTTTCGCTATGGCTAGCCATCGGCGCGCTGCTGTACGTGTTTTATGGCTTCGAGCACAGCAAGCTGCGACTGGCGTCCATGGCCGCCAGCGGAAGGAGGGAAAAAACGAAGAAATCGACGGCAGGTGGGGGGGCTGTGGGAGCCGCCGATCTCGAAACCGGCTGGCGTACGCGGTTCCAACGCTCTTTGCGAAGCTGGAAGCGCTGCTGCGGAAGACGAGATAACACATAAAAATTTCATAAGTTTAACCACCCCATCATCTCACCTTGTGTGTGTGCCTTTGCAACTAACCGCCGCGGGGTCTGAGCAAAGTGCGCGCCGGTTAAGAAGGCGGCTGTGCGATCGATTGCTCGATGGACCGGCCACTGTCTGTGTGCGCAGTTGAATTCTTTCATCATCGTGCCTGGTTGAATTCATCGCTTGCGCTCAGTTGAATTCTTTCATCATCGTGCCTGGTTGAATTCATCGATTCGTAATTAAAAAACTCTCGCAGGGGCGCAGAAGGATCCCGCGCGCTCTGGTGGTTGAATTTCGCCGAGCGTCTTTTTTTTTTTTTATACAGTATATAAAATTGGGAATTGTCCGTGATCTCTGACCTCGTGTTGGTAGGTAATGACGATGTTGTGTCCCGCCTTCGTTGCTGCAGGCGGTAATGGTGATGATGATGACTGCGATTGTGTATATAGAATTTCATCCTCGTCCATAAGTGAATGAGGGAGGAGGAGAGAGGGTAACAATAGAGTTAGGCGACCGTTCTTTTTGTCGAAAGATACAATGGCGCAAGGAACGGCGGGGAGGAGGAAGGAAGCGAGGAACCACTAATTCCACCGCTACGTGTAGTCCGCCGCCGTATAACTCTGTTCCAATGTGGGTCTCCATCCCTCGTTCGCTGCTGGTCGATTGCATTCACTGACCTCACTGTCTTGGTGCAAATTGTATTTTACTTCACAACGTAGATCTATAGCTAAGCGCGCTCTGTGTGTGTGTGTGTGTGTGAGAGAGAGAGAGAGAGAGAGATTGAAAAGGATTGCTGTCATTCAATACAGTGAGAGGAGCAGTAATCAATTTATTCATACTCGTGTTCGTCTATTTCGGATGACCAACGATAACGTGCGCTGACAATTCGTCCAGTTATATGCCCCCCCACCGTTTGTGCCTTTTTTTCATTTTTCTTCCACCCCTGAAAATAATGGAAGCATTGCCGTTGGCAAAAAGAGAGGAAGTCGTGTTGACAGGCCGTGCGTCGCGCCCTTCAGTTGTTCATCTTTTTCGTCCGGTTGCAAATGCGGGAACCCACCCTAGTTTCCAGTACTGCAATCGCTGCTGTGGCTAGAGACAGGGCCAATTCAGGGACCCAATCGATCGACTGACCAGCCAATCAATCAGTGAGTGCTACGAGGCGTCTTTCAACGAAGGGTTGGGCGTGGCGCACTCACCTATGGACTACGCTTTCCACATTTGGTTCTGGCGGCAAACGTCCCTGCGAATCTCCTATTGAATTGAAAGGGAAAGCAACTGGTGTGCTTTCAGATCTTTCAGATCTGCGTATTGTCGCTCGGTGTGATTAAGTGTTAACAGTGTTCCTTCGTCTCCCTGTGGGGGGGGGGTGAAACACAGCAAGAGAGACAGAGCCAGGCGAGGGGTATGCTGATGCGCAGACATACTCACAGAGCCTCTTCAACGTGTTCGCTTTTGACTGTCAGGGAGTAGGCCATTATTTCCTGATCCCTTCATGCCAAAGGGATTAGTTCTTATGGTGCTGTTATCCTTTTCTTGTTTACTCCATTGGATTGGATTTCTTTCTTGCTGTGTCCGCTTCTCGGTGCTTCGATTGCACGGTCGAAAGGCCAACAACCGTCTTCTCTCTGCTATTCCCACCCATCCCCCCCCTCTCCATAACCCTCTCACATGCACACACACAGAAGTTCATTAACGCTCACAAATTTCGTATTGTTCTGCTCTCTCTCTCTCTCTATTTCTCTCACGCATACATTTCCCTGGCTGAGTGGGTGTGGCGTGGGTTTTTCAAGGGTGTGGCAGATTAGTTTCTACGAACTTGAAGCCGTTCTTGTCAGGGGTTTGGACTGATTGTATGCCTTGATTGCAGGGTTGGTGTGAGTAAAATCGATCTCTTTTCTCTGGGGCATCATTAACTCTGGGCGGCGTGGTGAGTCCTCATCCATCAGTGAAATGAATTCCGTGCAGACCGTCGGGGTCCAATCTCCTGATTTATCTCAATGGAGGATCTAGCTCCTAAGGTGAGTGGCTCGACTGACTCCTAGTCGTATAATTGGCGGTCTGTCACAGTCATGCTTTTTTTGTGGAGATGTGCATAACGAACACGACAATGCTCGTCTGCTTACGAATCCCTCCTCTCTCTGTCTCTGTGTGTGTGTGTGTGTGTGTCCGAGTGTGTGTGTCTGTGTCTCAGATCTACAGCATTGTTTTCTTTTCCCGTCTTCATCTTTGTTCTTCTGCTCAATATTCCAGGGGTCTTTGCTGGCTTCTTCAGTGAATGGTTAGAGATGGAGACATGGGCCCTGTATGCACCACCCACCAAATGCAAGAAAGGCGAATTTTGGCTATGTATCTTTCCATGTTTTTGCGGACGATTCGGGGCCTCATTTTGCACGTTTGGCGAGTGGTGCGGTGATGCCCAGACCTGCAGGCAAACTGAGAGATTGATGCACCCCCGAACTGGGAGATTGATGCACCCACAAACTGAGAGATTGATATGCACCGCAAAACAGTTGTAGAGTAAGTTACATTCCGGGTATTCTACTCTGTGCTGTCGCAGTCCGGGTATTCTACTCTGCGCTGCGTATAGGTAGCCCTATGTTCTGCAACTCAAGAATCGAATGTGGCGGTAGTTGTGATTGCTTCTCTAATACACCCTGCTTTTTGTGAGTTAACCATGGAGACACGTATTTCTGTTGTTCTTCCTGCAAACCGTGTTCTAGTTGAGGTAGAGAACCACAGTTCACAGATAGTTCGCAGGAACTTTCATGTGACCAGGGATAACGCCACCCCCCAAGCAGAGAAACAGAATGAGAGGCGACCCTGGTCATCAATCTAGGTACCTGTGGGTGCCCAGAGAGACACTCTTCAGGGCCCAGTTGCATTAGTCGCCAGACTCGCCACCCGCCAAATTTGGCGAGTAGGTGCATGGTTGCACTTGCTTGCCAGACTTGGATGTGCGATAAAACTGTTAGAATGTGTGGGGAGTTTTTCTTTCCATCTGCCAGAGTGTGTGGCGAGGTCCCCGACTTCCAGTGCTGTTCTGTGGAGGATAGTTCCTAGTGGCCCCTCCACAAACTTACTTCCTGGCGAGTGTTCCAGCTTTACGGCTGGAGGTCTCACCAACCACCGTTTTTAACTTTTCTGCCCAATGCAAGTTGTGGCGAGTAAATGCAACTGCGCGTCCAACTGGCCAGTATTTCCTCTGTCTTCACTGGCCGATCTGCCCAACGTAAGTTGTGGCAAGTGTCGTCAACTCGTGGGGAGTAAGTGCAGCTGCACGTCCAACTGGCCAGTATGTTCTCTATTTTCACTGGCGGAATAGTGAGTAGTGAAACTTGGCCGTCATAGTTTCGCTGCTAGGCTTTGGCTAGGGGTAACAAGCCAGCGAGATGACTTCGTGCGAGATGTCTTTTGTATGGAAGTCGGTGAACGAAGCGCTTGGCCCAATATGCTGTGTTTGCACTGTGTTAGCTCAGACTTTAGTGTTTGTCATTGGCTTCCATGCATGAACATAAGCGCCGATGGGTGTTCAGACAAATACCCTTTTGTAGTTCTCGTTCAAATATGCTGTGTTCGCTCAGTGTTAGCTCAGTGTTAGCTCAGTGTTAGCGCCGTGTTAGCGCCGTGTTAGCGCTACACTGCGCCGTGTTAGCGCCGTGTTAGCTCCGTGTTAGCTCAGTGTTAGCTCCGTGTTAGCTCAGTGTTAGCTCAGGCTTGGTGTTTGTCAAATTGTCATTGGCTTCTGTGCATGAACATAAGCACCTATGATGGGTGTTCTGAGAAATACCCTTCTGCAGTTCTCGTCTACTCCTTGGCTCTAAGTTCACTAAGCTCGGTGAGACAGTTTGGCATTTCCGGTCGTGAGAGCCAGCATCGGAGCATCCCCCCATGCTCGGAAAGGCCAAACAATGAGGTCCTCTCTGTCCAAGTTGGATGTGGAGGATAGTAGGTTCGTCGACCAAACATGCTTTTTTTAGCTTATCCTTCTGCAACTGGGGTTCGCCCCCGTTGTGTGGGTCCTGTACCAAGCTGCCCAGAGATAAGCCAGTGGTACCTTCAGCCAGCATGTACAGGAGATAAGCCAGGGGCACCTTCAGCCAGCATTTACCGGAGATAAGCCAGGGGCACCTTCATTCGGCTTTTACAGGACTGCAGGTGACATTATTGGTTATCAGAAAATGCCAAAATAGGGTGTCGAGTCTCTCAGGGGCGCTCTGACCGTAATGGGGGCCCTTATCATCCTGGGTTTGTGTCTGGCTTAGCAGACGAACTCATGCAAACTTGGTGCCCCAAATGCAGGTGATGGAGTCTTCCCTGTTGCACTCAAAACAGATGTAACAGGAGGGTAACCGAAGGTAAGGGAAGGGGGGGTGGGGGGTACAGGGGTAAATGGAGACGAGGAATTACCTTGTTGCATCCCTGTCTGAAGACAGCTGTAGCACAACCTTATTCCCAGTATTCAGAAACCTGTGCTTCTGCTGGGAAAAGAAAAAAAAAACTGTGCTGCGCACGGTCGGAGCAGCAGTCACCACTAGAGCAAACCGTGGGGGAGAGGGGGGGGAAGTCGTGGAGGAGAAAAAAAAGACGTGGCAAAAAGACGTGCAGAAAAAAGAAAAGAAGATAAAGGCCAAAGCAGCTGTGGATGCACTGGCTGGAGAGAGAGGGGGAGAACGAAAAATACGACCATACGTTGGGGCTAAATTTTCCACCAGCACTCCTTCAGGGTATACCTGTTATAATTAGATCATTAAATACTTACTATGGCATGCGTGGCAGGATATAGTGGTCTGCTGATGGTCCACAAAAGTACATCCACGCAAAAGCAGACCAAGTGCATCCACACAAAAGCAGCCACGCAAAAACAGACCAAGTACATCCACGCAAAAACAGACCAAGTACATCCACGCAAAAACAGACCATGCATGGGAAGTGGTCTGCTGGTTCATGAAAATGCATCCAGGCGAAAACGGACAATGCATGGTATGCGATTGCTGTGACGGCAGGATGTTTTTATTGCTAACCGGCAGGATGGCATATCCTGCGAGGTGGGGTACAAGCAAGGCTGCAATGCCACTGCATGGTACAAAAAAATGGTTGGGAAACTGGTGCTTTAATTGGAACGATAAAGAGATGCTTGTCGTGCTCATCCTTTTTATTTTATTTTATAATGAACTCCTTCCCTTTCTTTTTCTTTTTTTTTTGTAACCCCCCTCAGAAGATGCCCCTCCACCCTTCTTCTGTTCAGTTACCCCGGCGCAACCCCACCCCCTCTGCCCTGCCTTAGTGTGGACCACCCAGGACCATCACTCGTCACCAGCCAGACGTGGTGCAAGCAAGGCTGCATCATACAAAAGTGATCGGGAAATACTGGTGATCTAATTATAACGGGTGCCCTGAAGAAGTGCTGGTGGAAATTTAGCCCCAATCTGTGTGAATTTTTTTTTCATTCTCTGATCTCTCTCTCTCTGATCTCTCTCTCTCTCTCTCTCTCTCTCTCTCTCTCTCTCTCTCTCTCTCTCTCTCTCT